CACATCTCTACACCCTCCCAAATTCAGGAGTCTGCAATGGCTAACATTGTACCTAGCCATCCTTCTGAATCAATAGTTGAATGCTAGAAGGAGAAAAGAGGACAGGAGCCCCTTGAAAGAATGGTGTGCTAACAGCCAGGAGGGTCAGATAGAGGATCTTTTTCACTGCTTTATACTTTGCCCCAAGATAAAACCGATTTGGGCTGAAGTAGTGAAGATTAGTAACTCAGTTATATCCACGGCCTTCACAGCAAACCATACCCTACTACTGTTGGGTTTCACAACACCTGACGACTGGACCAAACAACAAAATAACTTCTTCCAGATCCTTAGAAAAGAAACACTTTGGGCCATCGGGAGAAAAAGATGCTAAGAAACATTAAGCAAGCAACCAATGCACTTAAACGAAGTATGGCGCCTGATACAATGACAGGGATAAACTGAATATTGGGTATATGTTGTAAAGTAAGAAGAGGAATGGAAACAAACGAACCCACCGCAAAGGAACAAAAACAAAACTTCGAAGAGAACTTCTTAGCAAAGGGTAAGATAGCTCACATCAAGAGTCAAAGTCTAATCTTTACACTCTGGGAAGGCGCCCCCCAGGCCTTCCAACCAGACACAGAATCCTTCAACAGCATACCAGACTCCTTCATTATCCACATGAATTCTCCCTAGTTTGGAGAAGCCAAAACCTAGACCAACTAAATCACAACACCTCCAACCCCCTCTCGGCACAATCGGCCAACGCATCCTCAGATCAAGGACTCCTGTGACAATCCCCATTTAGATAAGTCGTAACACATCCAACAACTTCTATTATCCCTTCCTACTAACAACGTAGTGCCAAATGTAAAGTAAAGCTCCTTTACTAACCATGCTAGAATTCAGACTTATAGCAGGCAAGTAATAAAGGTAAATAAGGACACAACCAACCTCTATAGGGAACCCATTACCCCGAGTAATATAGACTACTCCAAAATAGATCAGGCCAACTCAGTAGAGACGCCTCAAACAGATAATAGCACAAATCAGCTCCAAATCTAGAAAATTGACAGAGAGGCAGTGAAGGATAGAGCATAGGGTTTAGGGTTTTATGAATAGACGTCAAAAGCTACCTACAGAGACAAACAAAGTAGACAGTCACACCTAGTTTGCAAACCAGGCGGGCTAGCGTCTCAAGAACTTAATTCTGATAAGGCAACCGAATAGCTGAGAGGAGTAAGCTAGTCGAGCCTCGGTATACAAGCCAATCGCTTCAATCAAACTTAACAGAAGTAAGTTTACCCACAATAGACAAAAACTAAGTCATGCAGGCTAACTTAGGCACGGGTAAGGGGTGGTACATCCTTCCCTAAAGGAAGTAATCAATGTCGTCCACTTGGGCCTCCCAACCATAATGGGGAAGAGTGTGCGTGGTAAACTTTGTATTCATCCTTGACTTGCCGGGGGAATAGGAACCAGATTGTTGCTCCCAAGAATGGCAGGAGCCAGAACCGAGAGGTTCTGTTTTGTTCAAAAAAAAAAAAAAAAAAAAAAAAGGCTAGTGGAGGCGAGAATCGAAGTAGCAATTCACATGGAAGCGAAAAACTAAACAAGGCATGAGGAAATGAAGCTTACAACACTAGTTGAAGCAAGAACACAAGTAGTGAATTACACCCAAGTGGAAGATTGAACAAAACATGGAGAGAAGGATGACAAAACACACACACAAGGCTATTAGAGGCAAAAATCGAAGTAGCGATTTGCAGCCAAGTGGAGTGATGGACAAAACATGGAGAGAGAGTGAGAGAAACTCACTCCCAAACCTTGGAAAGACAAAGATGAAAGTGGCGATTCACAAGGAAGCGAGGACATAAACAATACATGGAGGAAAGGAACTCACAACACTACGTTTTTCCCCCGAACATAATGCATATGCGTTGTATTTGAGTTTTCGAATTTGAAAAAAAAAATGAAAGAACGCATGTGCGTAGTATTCGAAATTTAGGGCTATTCGAATTGAACGCATATGCGTTGTATTCGAATAAAATGCACTTTGTGCGTTGTATTTGTTTATAACACATATGCGTTATGTTCAGGGGAAGAAGGTAGTTGAAGCAAGAAGTAAAGTAGTGATTTGCAACCAAGTGAAAAGATGGACAAAACATGGAGAAAGAGTGAGAGAAAATCACTCCCAAAGCCTTAAAAGACAAAGATCAAAGTGGCGATTCACAAAGAAGTGAGGAAATAGACAATACATGGTGGAAAGAAGCTCACAATACTAATTGAAGTAAAAAGTGACGTAGCAATTTACCTCCAAGTGAAGAGATAGACAAAACATGGAGAGAGAGTGCGAAAAACTCACTTCCAAGGCATGGAAAAACAATGATCAAAGTAGTGATTCACAAGGAAGTAAGGAAATAGACAGTACATGGAGGAAGGAAGCTTAAGTGAAGGAACGATTTACAACCAAGTAAAGAGATTGACAAAACATGAAGAGAGAGTGAGAGAAAATCACTCTCAAAGCCTGGAAAGACATTTGTGAAAATTCTTCGGCCTTGTTTGTTTTTTTCCGAGCGTATTTGCATAGTGCATTGTAATTCAGGGAACTTGGGGTATTAGTGAATCGATCATTAGGAACAAAAACGAAAAAATATTCTTGAATACAGAATTTCCAGGCCGAACGTACGGAGGCCGTTAAGCTGACCCTCGAGCGTTCGGGCGTTCGAGTCCCCGTACGGGGCCCGAACCTGAAGGGGTTCGGAACCCGCAAAAACTTATTTTGGCACCTAAATATTATTTTTTGTTTCTGAACAATTTTTTGTGAGTTCTTTGTGATGTAAGGTATCTCCCTCTTAATTTTGAAGCCATTCTGTTCAGCCAAAAAAAAATGAAAAATCGGCAAAGATGGTGGTGTCAAAACTTGCTTGACCTCTCACTAATTTGTTTTTTCTCTCTTTTCACTTTTTGTTTTTCCTTTATTTCGTACATGAAAAAAATTATTATTTTTTCAAACTTTACTTGTATATTCTCTATTATGTAAGATACGCATATATAAATTTTCATGGCATTTGTTATAGCCAAAACAAAATGAAAAATCACCGAAGATGGCGGTGTCCAAAACGTTCTCTCCCACTCAATAATTTCATTCT